CAAAAAGTAAAAGCAACCTGGCAAATCTTACCCCGCCTGTTTACCAAAAACATCACCTCTAGCATTACTAGTATTAGAGGCACTGCCTGCCCAGTGACATATGTTTAATGGCCACAGTATCCTGACCGTGCAAAGGTAACATAATCGCCTGTTCCCTTAATAAGGACTTGTACAAATGGCCACACGAGGGTTCAGCTGCCTCTTACTTTCAATCAGTGAAACTGACCCATCCATGAAGAGGCAGATATAAATAAATAAGATGAGAAGACCCTATGGAGCTTTAATTAATTAATGCAAATAAAAACTCAAACCTACAGTCCCTAGCATATTATCCCTGCATTAAAATTTTTGGTTGGGGTGACCTCAGCGCGTAATTCAACCTCCAAAATGACCTAAACTAAGACTGCACTAGTCTAAGTGAGCTATTATTTACTGACACAATAATTTGATCAATGGAATAGGTTACACTAGGAATAACAGCGCAATCCTATTCTAGAGACCATATCAACAAAACAGTTTACGACCTCGATGTTACATCAGGACATCCTAATGGTGTAGCCGCTATTAAGGGCTCATTTGTTCAACGATTAAAGTCCTACATGATCTGAGTTCAGACAGGAGTAATCCAGGTTGGTTTCTATCTATTTAGTATTTATCTTAGTACAAAAGGACAAGAAAAATAGGGCCCACTCTACAAAGCACCCTGGCTCCACAGATGACACAATCTCAATCTAATAAATCATCACAATACCCTACCTAAGAACAGGGTTTGCTAAGATGGCACAGCCCAGCAACTGCATGAAACTTAAAACTTTATAAACAGAGGTTCAAATCCTCTTCTTAAAAACATGCCTATTATTAATCTTCTCCTGCTTATTGTCCCTACTCTTATTGCTACAGCATTCCCTATACTCATCAAACAAAAAATCTTAGGCTATATACAACTACACAAAGAACCCAACATTGTAGGTCCCTATGGACTGCTTCAACCATTCACTGATGCAACAGAACTTTTCAGCAAAGAACCCTTGCGGTCCTTAACATCCACTATTACCCAATATATTATTGCTTCAACCCTAGCCTTCTCTATCATCCTTCTCTTATGAACCCCCCTCCCTACACCAGGTCCTCTAATTAATTTTAATATAGGTCTCCTATTTATACTAGCCACATCTGTTTCCAACATTTCCCTTACTATCTTCACAAGAACTCTTATAACACTGCTAAGCTCACACTGATTCCTTATCTGAACAGGCCTAGAAATAAAC